AAAACCCCCCCTCCCCCCCCCCAAAAAAAAAACAATAGTATAGGTAACTTTTAAGGCCCCTAATATTCTTCGAGATCAGACTCAGGGCGGGGGGGGGGACAGGTCGGAGTTCATCCCCCCGACCCTTTTGTGCTATCCTACATAATATATATATATATATATATATATATAGGGGCCTGAATTTTTTTCACCTATACTATTTCGGGGGGCTCTTTTTATAAATATATAGTATAACATACCCCAAAAACCCTAGCTCAACTTTTAAGGCCCCTGGAGTATACGTACACTCAGATCTTGCCCCCATTTGAAAAAGGCGAGCGCTCAAATCATGATCCGAAATCCCTGAATCCAACAAGGAAAGCCTGAATCCCGTGCACCAGCTTCACATTCACTTCTCCACATAGGGTTTAGGGTTTAGGGTTTAGGGTAGCCCTTATCTTATCTCCCCCTCAAGCCATTATAAAAACCGTGTGCAAGCCGTTCTTCTGTTTATCTGCGCCCATGGGCTCTGTAGCACCTGCGTCGTAGTTGAAGCGCTGCTTGAACTCCTGCTCACACACTCGGTTAAGGGTTTCAGGGTTTGGGGTTCAGGGTATCTCATGGTTTCGGGCCTAGTAAACCCTTGACCCTAAACCGACAACACATAGGCTCTCAAAGGCAGCACCCCAGAAGGTGAGAAGCTTCATCAGTCTCTGTGTGTGCCTTGCTGGTCCCGAAACTTCCGGATCAAATTACATGGTTAGTTGTCAAAATTATGGTCCCTTTTGGGGTACCCTAAAAAAATAGGTGCCGTCTTATAATAAGCACCCAAAAAGGGACCATAATTGAGACAACCACCCACATGCCTGAGCACTCGAAGTTTGGAGCTCCCAGGGCTTAGTGAAAAGGGCTCAGAGGTGCAGTTTGTCAGCACCTAGACACTGAATTGTAGAAGCCTTCTCTCACAACAAAACGGGTGTCAACCAAGGTACTGCAATTCTGGGTCAAGGTCCTCGGTGCCATAATGATCATCATAGCGATCAGTATTGTCCGATGATCGTGGTTTATCGAACTAACATGTCCTGAGTTCCGGGCAACATGGGTGTTTTGAATCTAGAAATCGCTCGCAAGCTCGAGATGGTTTACAGTACCGAGCGTTACCAACAAGTCCTCGTCGCTATTCTTACGAACCGGTCGCACAGCTATTGCAAGATTCCACTCCGGCTGTCGATACCTGAAACCATATGAGAAGTCATCGTGCTATCACTGCTGCTGGGGTGCCCACAAACCCCTGAACGCAATACGAAACCCAAATCAGAAAGCCGCTCGCCACATGGAAGCCATACACAAACCGCAGGAAACTGTCGTGCCCTTGTCTAGAACTGCCGCAGCACCCCCCAAACCCCAACCTAAACCCTAAACCCTCAACCCCAAAATCCCTAAACCCTAAACCCTAAACCCTAATCCCTAATCCCTAAATCCAATAGAATCAGAAGTCTTGTAGCACAGAAAAAAGCACTGCCCGAGGGTTCCTTCAGCTGCTCCTCAGAGCAACGCCTCTCCTTTGAGTTCCTCGGTGCAACTCGGTCTAACTCAGATGTTTTGGGGTTTATGGGTTTAGGTTTACAACGTGTAGGTGCAGAGTTTCGGGCTTAGGCTTCAAGGCTTAGAGTTTAGGTTCAGGTCTCGGTTGAGGGTTCAGGTGTGTATGACAAGGCTGTATGATGGTTTCCCCCAGGGTTTCCTAGAACCGTGTCAGTTTTGGGTGATGTGAAAGTTGTCTAAAGATTAGTTTGTCAGGGGTTTTGCAAGCATGTAAGTGCTGTTTGTGCTCACTTTGCAGGGGGAGGAGGAGTATTTTGGAGTTCGGTGTTTACGATTTGGTGGTGTTTTGGTAGTTGGAATGGCCTAGCGGTTTGAGCCTTTGGGGGTGTAGGCTTTCATGGTATTTACGGTTTTGGGGCTGGGGTTAGCCGTACAAGCCCTGAACCCTAAACCCTAAACGTGCTGTTCTTGCGTGGCACAACCCTAGACCCTAAATCGTCTCTAAACCTGCTGTTTTCACAGGTTCGGATTGCAGGCTGTACCCGGTTTCGAGTTCAGGGCTTTAGTTCCGCAACCGGCTGCCAGTCCCTACAGCAAACCCCAGAAAGTTGGAACATGGATTTAGGAGGATTGGTGCTAGGATCCCTTTACCTTAAGGCCATGAGGAGATTAATGTTCCAACTTTCTGGCTTCTGCTATATACTGGGATGTGCACGGAGAATCGTTGAGGCTTTGGGGTTTCAGGGAACTGCCATGTACTGACCACCGACCGGTCTTAGGGGGTTTGGGCCTTGGGCTCAAGCAACACCGCAGACGCAGCAACACGGAGACCCCCCTAAAGGCCGAGCAGCCGACCTGCAGAATCTTGAATATCGTACGGCGGTTTAGGGTTTAGGGTTTAGGGTTTAAGGCCTAGAATAAGACAGGGTTTGGGGGTATATCCCTGTGTACTTTTTTGCTGGGAGCCCTAAGGAATATAGTACAGGCGTGTTTTCAGGCCCCTGCACTAATACTTTTTCCTTGAGGCACCAGAACACAACACCTAAATCCTAGAGCCTCATGTGAGCTTCTAGACTCCAAACCCCTAACCCTAAATCCTGAATCCTAAATCCCACAGATTCATCTTGCTAGGCTTGCCCTAAACCTGCAGCGACTTGGCGAGTGGCTGTCGGAGCACTTTGGCTGCTTTGAACTCCTGAGCACTAAAGCCTTTATGGGGTTTCATGGGATTGTTTAGAGTCTTGTGGAGGTTTCATAAGGCTTTTATTGTTACTTGTTAAGAATTCTTATAGGTGTTATAGCGATGTCTAAAGGATTTGTAGGGGTTTTGGGGTTTATGGCCTGGGATCTGGGGTTGCCGAGGTTTCGGGTCAAAGGATCGAGCCTTTTTTGCTTGCCTGAAATTATGAAAAAGATATGTCGGTGTATGAGCTGTGGTACAGGATTAGTAAGGTTCCGGACTATATTTCGGACTGTGATCTGCACTTCTGGAACAGTTGGCGTAGAAGGCCGCGTCGAACAGAAAAGCCTCTGGGCTGCTCCTGAGAGTTTACTTGTCCGGGTCCTAGGGTTCAGCATTAGAAGGGTCACCTGGCATGATGATGAAGGAGATGAGGATGAGGATGATGATGATGATGGTGACGATGGTGATGATGATGACGCGGATGAGGTGCGCTGGCATTTGCCGTGCTATGCCCTGTCAAAATCAAAAAGAAAGCCAGCAGCAACTGACATGTCTCAACAAGACAGAAAGCGCTGTGGAGCAACTTTTGCAAAGACTGATCGGCTCACGTTCCAGGCGTCGCTCTGGCTGCTTGCCGTGCATAAGCCCAGTGTAAGCCCTAAATGCCGCCTAAAAGCTCGAAGCAGCTTGTTTAGGGTTTAGGGTTTAGGGTTAAGGGTCGTCCGAATCACAGACCTCCTGTCGAAAAATACTACGTCGACTTCAGGGGTCCTGTAAACATGATCATTCAAACCTCTGACAATCCTCGAGTAGGGATCGAACCTAGGGTCCTAAATATGTCTGAAGTTCTTGAGAAGCAATAACAAGAGAAAGCGACCCAGACAACTCCAGGTCATTGAGAACCGACCAAACTTTAAGCCCTAGCTTCTGTGAGATTCCACACCTTATGGACCTTCTGTCCACCTCAATCTAAACCCTGTCTGGCCACAAAAGCCTTAATCGCTCCAATGCTACTGAAGAGCCCAACTTTCCCAAAGCCTGCGAAGCTCTGAACCCAATGCTACACTCACACCAATCCTAGACCAGCAGCCGCCCGAAACCCTACAGCACTCAATACACTTCAAGCCCCAGAACACCCCCAAAACTCTCGACAAACTCGTTAGACTTAAGCTTTCTGCGCCCCATTACCCTGAGCCCGCCCCGACTACAAGCAACTAGTACAGAAAGAACACCATCCCCCTCCCCCCCGTGACACAGACACACACACACACACACAACTCCAAACTAAAACAACGAACAGCGCAACTCAGAATGCCTGGCGAGCGAGGTGCTCGTTCAGGGCTTTGCCAAAGAAGAGAGCTCTCTCCGTCGACATAGACCTTTGGCACTGCGATGGACAGTCAAATTATCAATACCCCTCCCGCGGCGGCAGATGGTTATTACCCGCATTGCTGTTTGACTGCTACTTGCGCCGTTACGCCGGTGAGAAAGATGATGTTGTTGTGGTCGTTGCTGCTGTTGCTGTTGACGCTGATGGCATGTTGCTGTTCGTGTGCTTGGTCTTTGAACCTGAGACATTCATCCGTTCAAGTGATCAGGATTTTGTTAGAGTTGTTATTCAGTTCTCGGGAAACTCGGCTTTGATCGTTTCGGGGAGTTACAGATGTGAAAGTCATGCACAAGCATCAGTCATACACATGTATATATATATATATACAGAAAGCGTCGCACTGCAGGCCCGAGTTTTGAAGCTTTCTGTTTTTC